GCTCACTGGCCTCCATTTTTAGGCCTCGTGGAGAACGGGTGAAGTTCCAAAGGACTGGAGGGTGGCATCAGTGGTCCCAAGTTTCAAAAAGCGTAGTAGAAAGGACATGGGGAATTACAGACCAGTTATCCTTACATCCATTGTAGGAAAAACAATGGAATGGCTCATAATTAAGAGAGATCTAGTGATGCTAGATGTGGAAGGGAGGCGGACAGCCACACAACACGGCTTCCACAAAAACAGGTCCTACCAGACAAACCTTGTGGAATTCTATGACAAGGTTCAAGATGGAGGGGATGCAGTGGATGTGGTATACCTGGATTTCAACATGGCCTGTAACAAAGTGCCCCATGATATCCTGGTGGAGGAACAGAGGAGTTTTGGGATACACCAAAGCACTGTCCGGTGGATTAAGTAATGGTTGTCTGACCGAAAGCAGAAGGTAACCATTAGTGGGGAATCATCGGGATGGTGGGCAGTAACAAGCGGGATCCCCCAGGACTCTGTCCTGGGGCAGATCCTGTTTAATCTTTTCATCAATGACATGGAAGAAGGGGTGAGCAGTCTGCTGATCAAATTTGCCGATGACAGTAAGACTGGAACAGTGGCCACAACCGAGGAGCAGGTACTCCAGATCCAGCAGGATATAAAATCATTTAATCATTCAAGTTGCTCCACTCCACCTTCATTCCAGAACTGCCCTGAATTGTGTGATAACTCACACCACTCTCCGTATATCCAAACATATACAATAAATGGTGTTCAAATATCAGACCAAATATATCTTCATATATCAAACCTTTTTCCACTTATCACCAATTAACTTATCATTACTGGCAATATCCAGAGTGTCTCTACATACCAATTTTTTCATTTGAGAATCACCTCTTATTAAACTCTAAGGCACTTGAATTGGCAGCTTTTTTGCTATTTTAATGTCTAGATTTTGTCCACCAGCCCTAAGGGGTAGCAGGAAAAACAGATGGAGATTTTGAAAGAATAGGAAGAAGAAGGTGGATTTGGGTTCTGTGGGGGAGAAAATTACATGGAAACTGAGGAGTGACCAAAGGTCTGTCAATTCAGGGATGCTGCAGACACTTAGCATGAGCTCAGCAAAAAGGAAACTTTCTGGAAAGAAATGCTGTGAGACTCCAATGTCCTCTTTCTGAGAAAAATGACATCTAATTAAGACAGAACTCCTCAAACTACTCACCTCTCACAAGGCTGCTGGAGGAGACCAACCATGCATGCAAGGTGCTGAAGGGCTTAGGTTCCCCCTATTTTGTTTTGCTTTCTGAAGCTAATAGCTCTGCTAAAAGACAAGGGAAGTCTAGAACCAATTGCCCATCCTCAATGGATGTTCAATACCATTGAATACTCCAGCTGCATGACATCCCTAAAAAAGCTAGGCCACTTATTCCAGTGAAGCAAAGAAGGATCAAGGAAAACATTGGGGATTATGAAATGAAAATTTAAGGTCAAATTGTGAACAAAAAATATGTCCCATGGCAAAGAAGAAGCAGCAGCAGCAGCAGCAGCAGCAGCAGCAAAGCAAAGCAATGGCCACATAGATGGATTGCAAACTGTAGCAAAAAGTGCATATACTTAAATTTTTCAACCTCTTCTTTGTATTAGATGTTCCTTCTTGTTCAGCTCAGGTCTCAGCAAAATGATGTAACATTTGGGGAAAAAGATAAAAAAAAGCAGTCCAGAACTGGAGGCTAAGATGGAAAAGATCTCCACAGTCACCAAGTACTTTCCTTTGGTGCTCAGGTAGGAAGGCACAAAGGATAACCAGACACTGCAAAAGACCAGCATACTGAACGTGATGAACTTGGCCTCATTGAAACTATCTGGTAGCTTCCGGGCAAGAAAAGCCACCACAAAGCTGACGCTAGCCAGGAAGCCCAGGTAGCCCAGGACACAGTAAAACATCGTTATCGATCCCTCATTACACTCCAGTATGATTTCCTCAGCCACTGAATGCAGGTCAATATCTGGAAAAGGAGAAGCAGTTGCCAGCCAGGCAATACAGATCCCAGCCTGAATGAGGCAGCAGGAAATGAGGAGTGTGTTGGCCAGTCCCTTCCCCATCCACTTCCTCATCTTGCTTCCAGGTTTGGTGGCTCTGAAGGCCAAGACCACCATGACTGTCTTGGTCAGCACACAGGAAACAGCCACCGAGAAGATGATGCCAAAAGCAGCTTGTCGGAGGAGACACATCACGCTCTGGGGCTGACCAATGAAAAGCAGTGTGCAGAGGAAGCAGAGCAGCAGGGAGATGAGGAGAGAGTAGGTGAGGTGCCGGTTGTTGGCTTTGACGATGGGTGTCTCATGATGCTTCAGAAATACTCTGAGCACCAGAGCCGTGATCAAGCAGGAGAGAAGAGCAAAAGCGGTCAAAATGATGCCCAGAGGTTCTTCATAAGAAAAGAAGTTAACAGACTTGGGAACATAGAAATTCTGGTGCTTACTTGGGTACTTTCCATCTTCACATAAATGACAGTAATGCATGTCTGTGGAAAAATGAATACATACATGTTCTCATGCATTCTACAGGTCTCACCAACTGGCCACATCAGTTTCTCAGATATAATGTTTCTTAGCCAACATAAAGAAATCATTCCTTCATTGCATCCGCTTTTGTAAAATCTCAATTATTTCCACTCTGAATATGAATAAATTGCTGATTTTTCATGACAGACCAACTCAAAAGAAATTCTGCCCCATTAGCTTGAACCAAATCCAATAGCTTTTTCTAGTATGAAGAGGACCATGTTCTACGAGCCTGCTGTAAACCTGTTGCAGATGAAAAGCCTTTCAGGGGACAGGGTCTGTGCAAGCCCTAATACAGCCCTAACTTGGCTCTATAAATGCTGATTTCAAAGCTAGAATTTCATGGACTCAACACTTCATGCTATCATCCGGGAGATGTGCATCTATCCATTTTGCATCTGCAATATCAACATGGCATTATCAGAACTGAACTGAAACAAAACTCTCACCCATGCCTTGCTAGGGCAATTCTGAGAAATGCCAAAGGATGCAATAGGGAGCACAAAAAAATAAGAGGTTTCTATGCATCCATTTCTCTTGCAGCCAGAAACCTGAGAGATCCTTCAGAATTCACAGAAAAGGGGTGGTGGGGGGGACAGGCAGAGCATGGTCTATTCAATGAACAGTGTTTGGGGGGTTTTGGCCACTCTCATATATATTTTTGAGTTTACAGAAAGCGTTATTGAACTGAGTGCGATTTGTTTCTGATGAAACCTTTATAGAACAGGCCAATCTCATTTAAGAGATGTAGTTAGTTGCAGAATGAAAGAAAGATCATACTTTGCAAACATAGACATTGGCTAATAGAACTCTGATCACAGAAATGTACTGAGTGTACTGATCCATTATTTGTTATTCGTTATTCATTAGTCCCCCTTCATGGATCACTGCCTTGTTGTGGCAAAGGGGCTTGAGTAGCTGAATGAAGCTATGAGCTATGGCATGCAGGTCACCCAAGATGGACAGGTCATAGCAGAGAGCTCTGACAAAACTTGATCCACTGGAGAAGGAAATGGCAACCCACTCCAGTATCTTTGCCATGAAAACCCCATGGACAGTAGCAAAAGGCAAAATGTGAGCTTAAGTGGAGTCCAGGGGATGGTGGAGGACAGGAAGGCCTGGAGGAATGTAGTCCATGGGGTCGTGATGGGTCAGACACAACTTCACAACTAACAACAACAATAAAATTAATTACTCATTAGTTATAATCTTTTAGCATCAATTGAATAATCTGAACAGTACTCTAGGGGCAAGCTCCAAAGTCATATGTTTGAATATTCAAGGCTGAGCCAGCCAACCGGAATTTTTAGAAACCCCTGCAGTGGGTCATTGGAAACAACTGGGTGGAAACAATCACGCGGGTGGAAATGTGCTCACGCTCAACAACCTCCTCCACTGCTATTCAACATCTTCCACCCGGACCAATTCAATCACATTTCAATTCCTGAAGAAAGCTCTTTTACCAACTGACCTAGGTGTCTCAAATATATTTGGAACAGATGGACATACTAATGCCTACCAATCTCGCCTGAAATCATCCCTTTGGGACAAGCGATGCAATCGTAGCAGCAAAATGGCTCCCCTTCCTTCAGCTTCTTCCTAGCACCAGGATTGCAGCTCTTACTGCATGCAGACAGAGGCGGTGTCTGGGTCATCAGGGGATGAGGAGAAAAGAATCATGAAAATAATTCATAGGATATATGAGTATCTGATATATGCATATTTTCAAGTTCTGAAATCTCTTCGTAACTTCCTACCTCTCCAGGAGCTGCTAAATATGCTCTGTGAGACTCTGGTAAGGCTGAAATTATATGCCTGTGTCATGGAGGGAATATGCATGCACACTTCCAGCCTGCTTGTAAATGGAATGGAGAAATAGGGCAAAAATTGCAGTTCAAGATCCCATATGAAGGCTATCATCACCCAGCGCTTAGGAGAAGCACTCCCTAAAATTTGCTTAATTTCTCCCCAATTTACATTTCAATGTGATTGCATATTTGACATGTTTTTCACTTACTCTGAATAAGTAAACTGTGTATTTGATCCATTAAAATGTGCATTGTCATTCTTTTAACGAATATGCCAATTTTCTAGAGTACATTAGAACATAAATTTTTAAATTCCCTCATAAATGAAGGAGCATGTAAGCATTTCTAAAAGAAAACACTCCCCTATTTTAAAGAGAGATGTTCACATGATTTGATATAAATGCAATTGCTGTGTATCCCTCCTCCTTCCGTTTCAAACATTCTCTTTGGGAAGTGAGAAGAAGACACTCAAAAAGGGGTGCATGCCATACAAGGATGCTACAAGTATTTCCATAACCTCAAGGACACCCCCCATCATGCCCAATTGTTGCTGAGGCAGCAAATCTGTGATGACAAAATGCTTGGGTGGTCCTAAAAGAACAAATCCAGCTGGAATCTAAGATGCAAGCAACTTGGGTAGAAAGACTTTGCCTGCCAGGATGCTTGGAAATCTGACACTGGCCCCCAGATGCCTAAAGTGGTCCACCCTTCATGGAGCTCCGCACTTCCATTGAGTTGGTTCTTGGAGTGCCTAGATGACATTGAAACCAGTTGAACACAAAAAGGATGGGTTGTTGGGTGGAAGATAGGTAGATCCAAGACATTATTATTGTGAAGTTTGTAGAGGTGGTGGGAGGGGGATTATTTTATCTATCTCTTTCATTTTCTCCAGCATTTGAATATTTAAAATCTTATCCATTTAATCTCAAATAGGAAGAAACTTGAAGACTTCAACAGTTTCTTACAAAAAAAGAAAAATGAAAATGAAAAAAGCAAGGAAGCAAGCTAGAGAGGAAGCTCATTGGGTCTCATTGACTGCATCATGTGTTGTGCTTTCCAGTATTTCTCTAGGTCAATCTTTGTCAAATGAAATAAAAATGCACTTGTCACCACTGAGACCAAATCTTATTCAAATGTATAGACTTTGCCACTATGCCAAGTACCAAACCTGGTTAAACCATCTGTTCCATGTTATGGCATCTGGTATGATGGTGAATGCTTGTCCTGGAGCTGCCTCGGTATCCATCCTCCCTACTTTCACTCTTTGAAAAGACTGGTTTGAGGACACAATCCAATTGATTACATCAAATCCAGTGACTAACTCTCCATTCTCATTGAAAAAAACCTTGTCCCCAGCACTGTTGTTAAATGAAAGAAGCTTCAGAAAATAATGGAGCTGCAATGAAAAGGAAGGAGCTTAGAAAAACTGAAAAGAATCATGAAGACAGAGGGAGATGAATAATTGTACTGGATGGATGGCTTTCCTATTACTGTTTTTTCCTAGATCCCATTATACTATAAATGCTGAGCTTAACCTCCATATCTTCTCTCATTCAAAGGTTAGATTGAATTGCTCCAAAAGTTTGAGTCAATTTCCCAGATATTATAAAAAAGTATTCCATGCAGAAAAGCCTATTTTAAATATTCTTCAAAACACTCATTTATTTATTTATTTCATTACAAGCATTTATATCCTGTCCTTCCATGGAAGCACTCAGTATAATTTAGTGTTATATACTTGCAATAAATATAAGAAAAGACGTAGTTGATCATGTAGTTCAAATATGAACTGGATGAGTTTCCCTACTTTATTCCAATTTTTTTTTTTTTTTGTAACCTACAAAGCTGTGGTTCTCAGTACACTACCTGCCACTGTAGTTGGCTTTGAAAAGTTACTCCACCCCTGGCCACCATTCCTCTGTTCTTCAGACCAGAGGAAGACATGGCATGCAAGGCATGGGCCACTGCATGGACAGCATTGTAGACATTATAGCTGTGGCCACTCAAACTCTTTTCAAAAAATGTTCCAGGAAGATACTCCAGCTTCTCATCCCCAGTGCACTTATCCCCATCTAAATTTCCCAGAATTGGATCTGGGAATACACAGCTGAAAGCCTGTTGCCAGAAGGACCTAAGAAAACCATCACCTTTTGGACTGGAAGGGTGTTTTGTATTAAGGAATTGTTCAAATCCTGGGACATCATTGGATTGAATTCTGAAAGACAAAGCACCATGCAAAAAGTCTGTGTTCCAATTCCTTTGATAGACAAATGATGTGAACTCCACCTGAGCGGTCGCAATCATTACTTTGCCAATTGGTGTGTTTGACACATGTCTTCGTTCTGATAGGTATGGTAACCATCTAAAAAGTCCCATGGAATAGGATTCTCCATTGGCTACCAATACATTGGCTGTGCTATCCATAATTTTATCACTTATTTTTGCCCCCTCCTTCAAAACCTCTTGTATATCAGGGCCAAGAACAATTTCAGGGATTTTTTTGATAAAGGCAAAACAAACACCACTCCTGGAAAACAGTGGGACCACCATCTGGAGAAATCGCTCCCCATTGTCATTATCCATAACGACTGTCCCAATCCATGTCCACCTGAAGTGCAGCAGCAAAGAGAGGATCCCTGCATACTGGAGGGTCTCCCTTGGAGTCATGTTGTAGAAGGAAAGGCCTGGGGTTTTATCACTCATCACTGGTGCAGAGCCATATATCAGCTAAGGAGATACAAGAAGGAGAGGGAGAAAGGTCAAATAATAAGGAAGTATTTAGGCAGCTTTGACATTTACAAAGAATGTTCACATAGAACATCAGCAAGCTTCTCAGCAAATATTAAATTGCAGCAAGGAAATAAGCATCCTCCCTGGCATTTCACGGTGGGTTATTTATGAGAATGTGGTCCTTGCCTCTGCCCAGACTCCACTTTTTCAGGTTCATGTTGGCAGGAGTGGAATCCCAGCAGAAAATCCCCCTCCCCACATAGTTTGCTTTGCCTTTTATTTTCTCACTCATCCAAAAGAGGAAGAGAATATGATTACTTCCAATCTGCAAAGCCCCATCCCCAATGCACAAATGCACCAATGAAAGAGCAAAGAGAATGTGAAGAAAATGTTGCGCTCCCATTCCTCATGTTGATGGAAGGGCACGTCCCTCACCTGTGGAATCTTGTAGATATCCAAGAGAGTTGCAACGTGAATGGAGGTCTGGGCATCCAGTCCTCCGATGACTGCTATCAAGTGTTGCCAAATGCCACTTTTGTAGTTAGGGATTAACCACTTTGCTGCACATATCAGTCTCAAGGTGGCCTGATATGTCCACTTGGCCATGAAGTAGCTATCATAGATGCGGAAGCCCAAGGTGAGGTTGGGCAAGATGTCAGGGTTGTCATTGATCTCCTGCACTGCAAATGTCAAGGCCAGGATATGCTGGTAATTCTTGGGCACCACCCTAGAAGCAACAAAGTCACCTCCTGCATTTGAACATTCCTCACACAGTATTTTGTAAGGTG